GATCAGGAGGAAAAAAGGAAGGCTGCAGGAAACCAAGAGTGACTGCTGAACAGTGGTCATTCAGTTTTAATCATAATTTGACACAATGTCAGCTACAAACCTAGTTTAAATGGCAATAAGGAAGCCTTCTCTTCTAAAACTTCTGTTCTTTTTGATAGTATTAGTCATTTAATTAATGGAGATGGTATCATTTCAAAACATTTGGTATGGAAAAGTATAGAAGTATCAAAACTTTTTGACAACCTTACTTGGGAGTCATACAACATCGCTAAAAACATCAACATTATGTTCAGCATCATCAACTCCCCTTGATCTCAAGTCTTTACCCTTCTATGGCATCACATCAACATAAGGGATCACATGCTATACCCTTTACTGTCCTTTCAACTAAGGAGAACGCTAAATGACCTTTAAGAGCATATTTTAGTAAAACCAAATAGCATATAAGTAGACGTGTTCATGTGCTTGACACCACTTGGACATCGTCCAATGTTATACTATTTTAAGTAATCCCTTGTGTAATCCTTGTCAGAGAATCAGCCACTCAAGGACTCCACACAAACATCCACTACTAGAGCACAAACAACATCAAAATTAATTTCTTAAAAGAAACGTGTCGGGTTGTCTAATAGGTCCACCATACACTTAATTTAACTTTGCATATGCTTGCTTATAAAGATCCTTGTTGATGCCCTGCTCTCGACGTAATGCACATGTAACTCTGAGATCTGTAGCTTTATAGTTGCCAATATACTGTAAATGCCAAGCAATGTATTTCTGATTGTAACATACAAAACATTATCAAGTCGTTAAAGAGAAAATGTACTCTTAATTTTTTCCCCCTCCAGAAACAAAATAAGTCAGGGTCAGTTACAGAATGGTTTTCTGTACTTAACACAAAAGTAGTTTGGATTCTTGGTAGAGAACAGCTTTAACTGGCTCTATCCTGTATGAGTTTAAATGCATAATTTTGTATAAAGCAACTAAACAACAGCATATAAACGTATATCATACAAACACTTTTGATATGCCCAGTAAATTATTGCACACTTTTTGCATGTTGGCACAGTTGGAATTAAGTGACACCCTAAGGTCCCTTTTACTTCATCTATCTGTGATGTCTTATAAACAAAAGTACAATGAGAGGATTTAACATGCATACACAGACACACACAGACACACACAGACACACACAGACACACACACACACACACAGACACACACACACACACACACACACACACACACACACACACACACACACACACACACACACACACACACACACACACACACACACACACACACACACACACACACACACACACAGTGAGGAGTGTGTTGATGAGCCCCTCGGCAAGCACATGGGCACACTGCTGCTCACCAGACAGCCTGGCTAAGAAGGCATGACACTTAAACAACAACCTGGGAGGGTGGGAACCAGGAGCTTCGACACATGATTATAGTTTTTTGGTCAGTACCAAGTTAAGATGACTGATTATTGGGGCTTCATAAGGGATCGAAAATAAATGATGACAGCTTCAAGGTAGCACCTTTAACCAACAAGACACCAAAGGGAGACAGGATATAAAACAGGCTGAATCATTTAGCTGCTTGTAAAAACGTTTTAGTGAGCATTGACCCCTATGGAGAAAGTGACCAAAAGAATTTATGGTGCTCAGTAAAAACTTTCATCTATAACAAACCTGAGAAAAGGAGACATAATGGTATGACACAGGTAAAGCAGGCACAGATGTGGACTTATTATGGATATAAACTGCTTCCTGTGGATGTGGAGCCTAACACAAATAACCCTGGGTTCAAGCTTTGTAGTTTGTAAAACTCAGTTTTCACATACACACAGAAGGTCATACAGAATTTATTGCTGAAACACACACACACCACCCAGAGCAACCAGACGAGGCAAAGGAGGTGATCTAATGCTTCCTCTGATACTGCACCAAGATGAGAAAACATAACTGCAGACAGACTATCACGACCAAATGATAGAAGCATTTATTTGTCGCATATGCAAATGTAGAAGTTTAAGCTTTAAGACGCGTTTTATCTCTATAGCTTTCAAATAAGATTGAAATGTTAAAATATACACTTTACCCTACCACAGGAAACATCAAAGTTAAAGGGTTATTTGTGTTCAATCAACTACACAGTCATGTTTAAATAAAATACAACATGATGTTTCTATCATTGTTATTTAAATATAATGTAACTATTCACAGTAGGAGACTCACATGAATAGCAAATCTAGTCTGTTACAGTGTAAATCCTATGGGCAGTGTCTATGAAGTTTTGTGGACAGCTATTTGAACCTCTTCCAGGTTAGTTGTCCTTTGTCACTAAATATTTCCATTCATATGCATTCAGCCTCTGTCCTGATTTCTCCCATCCCTTGGCATTTGTTATATAACTGATGCAGAGCTCTAACCCCCTCCCGTGTTAGCTCTAGTTTTCCATTGCTTAGCAATTATAACGAATATCTTTTGCTGTCTGTGTACTTTAAAGGGCAGTCATTAATTGCAGCCTTACACAACTGTTTTATACTTCTTTTAGCTCTGTATCTCAGCAGACAAAGAAGGCTGCGGATCAAAATGGCTGCCGTGCATCACTAACACAAATGCAGCACAGGGGTAGTGGAGACTGTGCCGGTTACCACGTGCCTCTTCCCCTCCCCCGCTGCCTCTCTCTTCCTCTCCATCACTCTGCTCATCGCCCTCGTTCTCAATCTTCCCACAGCCAGCAGTGATTGTTACCTCTGCCTCTCCATCACAATGTCTTTACTTGCACAAAAAAGGTTCACTCGTTGTTTCATTTAGCAGTTTGCGTCACCTTCCTTGATTGTATTTTGGTTGCTTTAGACATCACTGCTTCCTTTTTGTGTGTATGTAGCCTGATGCCTGTGGCTGCAGCATGTTATGAAGGAACTAGGTCACTGAGAAAAGTAGTGCACTGTGTGGCTGTGTGATTCTCAGCTGGAGAAATCTGTAGCTATACGCTGAAACAGAGATGAAGCCCAGAATCTTCATCTTCCAGGTTATTGTTGTCTTACATATACAGTGTGCCAAAGTGGGAAGTTACATAAACATATTCATACATACACATCATATGTATGACATGATATATGTTTTATATAATTACCAGCACTATATGGTTAACAATTAAAATATTAAATATTAAATACATCAGCAAAATAAGACTGCATGATTTGGTGGCATAAAGCAAGCATAATATGGGGGAGCTGTCTAATATAACATCCTCCCCATCTAACTCTCCCTCTGCATCTATTAAGACTTACTATTCAACAACATACCTAAACATTCATCTTTATAGAAGATACTGTAGCCAAGAAAAACACATTACAGACCAAAATGGTGAATAAACCATTAGCCCAATCTGAAAAAAGACTACACAAACCTCATAAGCTCAGAGCAACACAAAAGGACAATCTGATCTTGCTCTATAACACCTTGTCTCCTTCCCTGCATTGCATTCAGAGCTGATGCCTCTCTACATCACCTCTGGCAATCCTAAATACTCAAACCTAGTAGGACAGCTCAAAATTACAAAGTCATCTATGATGGCTTAACAATGACCATTAATTTACTGTACATGTTGGCAAAGAACAAAAATGAAGCAACGACAACAGTTATCTGTCAAAAAATGTGAAGAACCACACACAAGTAGAAACATATAATGTATCATACAAATCAGGCTGGAATTCAGCGAGAGTTAGAGTCAACAACAGCGATGGAGTATGTGCAGGAAACATATAGAAAACGTACAAATGCATTTTAAATGCTGAGTGCGAAAGACATCAAAGTGGAATAACCAGATCTACATGATATTGTTGTAATAGTGCTTGTTTTAATGTTAAATATAATGTACTTATTTGTTTATCTTTTGGGCTGAGTTGGGACACTTTGCTTGTAAGGGGCCTGAGAGGGGAGCACATAAAACAGTCCCGTTGTTGATATCTGGGAAACACTTAATGACATTGGATCCAGCCACAGGACAACAATGCTGCAGATCAAATACATAGAAACAACTGACTTAGTGACTAGTTTTAGTCTGAACTGAATAGACCTTTCAGTGAGAGCTTCTAGTTTGTATCTTATGAGAAGTATTCATATGATGATTGAGAAGTGTTTTGCAGAGCTGGGGTGCTTGAATAAAAACAAAACACAAACAAATAAAAAAAAAAGGTGACAAATGTTACGATATAAGCAAGAGAGAGGCTGATCTCACCTCTGTGAGCATATTCTCTGACTCAGTTGTATGCCTTGGCATTGTCCTGGAAGCACTGTGGTCAACACTCAGAGTACTTTGACTGAAGGGTCGGGAACATTTAATATCACTCTTCCTGGAGTCAGTAGTTCCGTACACCTCATAACTGAATGCCGGCTTCAACGTACCGGTGCCTCCCACGTCTGCGTAAAGGGGCGGGTAATACGGGATAACAGGAAGATTTCCACCGGACTTGTAGAAAACGCGCTCGCGTCTCCATCTGTAGATTTTCACTGATATAATAACCACTACACACGTGATGAAGAGGAAGGACACTACAGCCAAAGCCAGCACTAAGTAAAAAGTCAGGTTGTCATTGTACTCCTTGTCGTGTGTAAAGTCAGTGAACTCAGACAGCACTTCAGGGAAGCTGTCCGCCACCGCCACGTTAACAATGACTGCAGCTGAACGAGACGGCTGCCCGTTGTCCTCCACTATAACAGTCAGTCTTTGTTTCACAGCATCTTTATCATTCACTTGGCGGATAGTTCTGATTTCTCCATTCTGTAAGCCCACTTCAAACAGCGCCCTGTCTGTGGCTTTCTGCAGTTTATACGAGAGCCAGGCATTCTGTCCAGAGTCCACATCAACAGCCACCACTTTAGTCACCAGGTAGCCCACATCTGCTGCACGAGGCACCATTCAGCCACCACTGATCCACCAGTCTGGACTGGGTACAGGACCTGAGGGGGGTTATCGTTCTGGTCCTGGATCACTATTTTCACTGTCACGTTGCTACTGATTGGAGGGAGCCTCCATCCTGCGCTTTGACGCGGATTTGGAACTCTTTTGTTTGCTCATAGTCGAAGGAACGTACAGCAAGTATCTCCCCACTCTCTGCATTCACTGAAAAATAAGCTGAGGCTGACATCCCATTTAGTTGGCTATCATCAAGGAAGTAGGAAATGCGGGCATTGTTTCCCGAGTCTCTATCACTAGCTTTTACAGAGAGTACTGACATGCCAGGTGAATTATTTTCAATTATATAAGCAGTCATAAAATGTTGTGGGAACATAGGGGCGTGGTCGTTCACGTCCGATATTCTTAAATTAATAGTCTTGTTTGTAGAATAAGAAGGGGAACCCTCATCCTTTGCCGTTATTGTTATATTATATTCTGGGATCGTTTCACGGTCCAAAACATCGTCTGAAATCAGGCTATAAAAATTGGTCGACGAGGACTTGATCTTGAAAGGTAAATGTGGGCTAATAAAACAGTTAACTTCACCATTTTTACCAGAGTCCAAGTCTTTGATGTTAAGCATTGCTATAACAGTTTCTGGAGCCGCATTCTCTGGTATTGGATTGGAGAGTGAAATAATGCTTATTACAGGGGCATTATCATTAAGATCAGTCACCTCGATTAGCACCTTGCTTGTGTCAGTCAAACCTCCTTTGTCAGTAGCTTCAATATCAATCTCATAATGTTTTACTTTTTCATAATCTAACAGACCAATTACGCTCATTTCCCCGGTATGAGGGTCCATATTAAACAGGGAGGATGCACTGTCTGTATGCTGGGAGAACGAATACACAACCTCCTCGTTTGCTCCCTTATCATTATCAGTGGCACTGACTGTTAATATGACAGTGCCCTTGGACGCGTTTTCAGGAACTGGTACTCTGTAAACAGACTGGGTGAATATCGGGGAATTGTCATTTGCATCCAAAACAAAGACACTTATTTTCACAGAACCCGATTTCTGAGGATTTCCACCGTCAAATGCTGTCAGGGTTAATTTATGCTCCTCTTGTTTTTCTCTATCAAGAGACGTGTGAAGAACCATTTCAATATATTTTGTTCCATCAGGCCGAGAAACTATATTCAACTTGAAATGATCCGCAGGGTTGAGCTTGTATGTTTGAATGGTGTTATGTGCTACATCGGGATCTCTGGCGCTCTCAAGAGCATAGCGAGCCCCTGTGAAGCGGATTCGCTAACCTGGAAACTATATTCTTTTTCGGAAAAAACGGAGCGTTATCATTAATATCTGTAATCTCTACATCAATTCGATGCAACTCCATTGGATTTTCTAGGATAATTTGGAAATGGAGAGAGCATGGAGACACTTGCTTGCACAATTCTTCTCTGTCTATTCTTTTGCCACAACCAGAGTTCCCTTTTCTGCATTCAGACCAATGTACTCACTGCCGTCCTCGGTAAATATCCTTGCTCTCCCAGATTTCACTCGTGTAACATCCAAACCCAGGTCCTGGATAATATTCCCGACAACCGAGCCTGTGGTCATCTCCTCAGGTATAGAATAACGGACCTGCCCGAGAGCGATTTCTGCGACATAAATGCAGATAAGCAGCGGCCACCATGAGAAAGATTTTTTAATAGGACCAAAAAACGAATACCCAACATCACTAGAGCCTTCGCAAAATCTATCTGAGAAAAAAGGACGGTGCAAAACTGTTTGATCACGATCTAATTGCAGATTGTTGTGTGCCTCGCTTTGTCAGGCGACAATTTCCGATTAAAATGGAGCCCAAATAACGCATCAGACTAAGGAGGGAGGAATTTGCTCAGGAAAGGTGCCTTTTTACACAGACTAACCAACAGCGGCACTAAGGGGCGTAAAGAGAAACTGCAGAAATAGCTGTACGGATTGAGATCATGTTAAAAAAGATGGGTAGAAAACAGACAGACAGAAAGCAAGATATATTAAGAGAGATAGTGTCTCTGTCCATGGTACTGGACAATAATTTCAAAAAATATATTATGGTTGTGCATCTACAGGAATTCCTAACCTCTAGAGGAGAGTCTGGTTCATCCAGGATGCTCTTCTCACTCTGTATCCGCTGCATGGTCCCTGTAGAACTGGGGTCCATTATCAACACGTTCTGACTACCAGCTCTGCCGAACTTACAGTCACTCTTTCTGGAGTCAGTCGTCCTGCACACCTCGTAATTGTACACGTGCTGGAGAGTCCCTGTGCCCAAAGTGTCTGAGTAACGTGGAGGATAATATGGAATCACAGGGAGGTTGGAGTGATACATGGTGCGAGACTGTCTCCATCTGTAGATTTTCACTGATATAATAACCACTACACACGTGATGAAGAGGAAGGACACTACAGCCAAAGCCAGCACTAAGTAAAAAGTCAGGTTGTCATTGTACTCCTTGTCGTGTGTAAAGTCAGTGAACTCAGACAGCACTTCAGGGAAGCTGTCCGCCACCGCCACGTTAACAATGACTGCAGCTGAACGAGACGGCTGCCCGTTGTCCTCCACTATAACAGTCAGTCTTTGTTTCACAGCATCTTTATCATTCACTTGACGGATAGTTCTGATTTCTCCATTCTGTAAGCCCACTTCAAACAGCGCCCTGTCTGTGGCTTTCTGCAGTTTATACGAGAGCCAGGCATTCTGTCCAGAGTCCACATCAACAGCCACCACTTTAGTCACCAGGTAGCCCACATCTGCTGCACGAGGCACCATCTCAGCCACCACTGATCCACCAGTCTGGACTGGGTACAGGACCTGAGGAGGGTTGTCGTTCTGGTCCTGGATCACCATTTTCACTGTCACATTGCTGCTGAGTGGAGGGGAGCCTCCATCCTGCGCTCTGACGCGGAAGTGGAAGTCTTTGATCTGCTCGTAGTCAAAAGATCGCACTGCATGGATGACTCCACTATCAGCACTGACGGAAACGTATGAGGAGACTGGCACTCCGTTAATAGAGAAGTCCTCCAGGATGTAAGAAACACGGGCATTCTGGTTCCAATCAGCGTCTTTTGCTTTCACTGTGAATATAGAGAGGCCTGGTGTGTTGTTTTCTACAATGTAGGCCTCATATGAGCTCCTCTCAAAGACAGGCGCGTTGTCATTCACGTCAGAGATCTGTAAGGTGAGAGTGACGCTGCTGGAGAGAGAGGGCACTCCCTCATCAGAACACGTCACTGTGATATTGTACTCAGAGGCTACCTCTCTGTCTATGTGACTATCTGTCACTAAACTATAGAAATCATTGTTTGTAGCTTTCATCACAAAAGGAATGTTAGCATTTATACTACATTGGACTATGCCATTTTCACCAGAGTCTGCGTCCTTAATATTAATCATTGTTACAACAGTACCAGGATTGGCATCTTCTGATATAATGTTTGATTTAGACATTATTTTAATATCAGGCTTATTGTCATTCATGTCAATTACGTCAATCATCACTTTACACGAGTCAACCAGTCCTCCATCATCACTTGCTCTAATATCTATTTGAAAGGTTCTAGCTTTTTCATAGTCTACATTTCCTACAAGCCGAATTTCACCACTTTCGTCACTGACTTCAAATATCCCACGGGTATGATCTACAATATTTGAAATAGAGTAAGTTATTCGACCATTAGATCCGTGGTCTGCATCTGTAGCAGTAACAGTCACGACAGTTGTACCAACAGGGGCGTTTTCCTGTATAGAGGCTTTATAAATAGGCTGTGTAAAGACAGGAGCATTATCATTAACGTCTAAAACGGTGATCAGAATCTGCATTGTTCCTGTCATCTGCGGCTCTCCCCCGTCCACCGCCGTCAGGACCAGAGAAAGCTGTTCTTTTTTTTCCCTGTCTAAAGGTTTCTCTAGCACCATTTCGACGTTCTTCGTCCCATCTGCTTGATCATGCAATTTTACAACAAAATTGTCAGTCGGTTCGAGTTTATATGTTTGCAAGCCGTTTGATCCTACATCAGGATCAATTGCTCGCTCTAATATGAATTTAGCACCACTAACAGCGGATTCACTAATTTTAAATTTAACTTCGTTCTTTGAAATGACGGAGAGTTATCATTAACATCTGTGATTTCGATAGTAACACTGTAAAATTCCATCGGATTCTCTAATATAATCTGAAAATGCAAAGCGCACGGCGTCGTTTGTCCACACAGTGCCTCTCTGTCTATCTTTTCTCTGATGAGGAGAACTCCTCTGTCGTTGTTCAGCTCAATATATCCGTCACTCTCTCGAGTAAAAATGCGAGCCTTACCCGATCTCAGTCTTTTTACATTTAAGCCAAAATCCTGTGCCATGTTTCCTACCAGAGAACCTTTTGGCATTTCCTCAGGAATCGAGTAGCTGACCTGCCCAAGTACCGAGCTGGCAGAGAGGACAGAGAAAAACAACAGTACTCGCTCTGCCATTGTTCTCTAGTACGTTACTCCAGTTTGAACGGTGTCTGTTCTTGGAAGCGTTGTCTACCGATGTCGTCCTTACAGGCCGTTAAATCATATTCCGAATTTCGATTAGAATATGTGGTTCTGTTTCTCCGATAAGATCCAGTGTGTCTCGCTTCAGTCGCGTTCTCTCCTTATAAATAAGATAGTAGGAGGTACAAAACGTCTGCGGTAAATCTATTACAGACTGGCCAACAGCGGCACTGTGAGTTCATGAAGTAAAATTGCATGCCAGATATGAATTTCACATTGGCTTGTCTGGACAAAACAAATGAGCAAAATAAAAAGGAAACTAAGACGGCTCTTGTTTGAACATTTGATATTACAAGCATTTGCGTGTAAAAGCGTATCGAGTAGTCATAAGACTAGAAAAGCGCCATACAAGCTCAAGTCCATTTACCATTTGACATTAATCTTAAAAATAGGAATCATGGGGTACAAATGTTGAATCATAAAATGTTTGCTAAAAACAATGTCCAATTCAAAGAATTGGGAATGTTACCAGAAAAAATGACATTGTTGGAAAGACGCTCTCCAAGGTGCTGAAAATCCCCAGAACTGTATGCAGTGTGTGGTTTACGCTAAGAACAGAAAGGTAGTGAAGTCTAACCTCTAGAGGAGAGTCTGGTTCATCCAGGATGCTCTTCTCACTCTGTATCCTCTGCATGGTCCCTGTAGAACTGGGGTCCATTATCAACACGTTCTGACTACCAGCTCTGCCGAACTTACAGTCACTCTTTCTGGAGTCAGTCGTCCTGCACACCTCGTAATTGTACACGTGCTGGAGAGTCCCTGTGCCCAAAGTGTCTGAGTAACGTGGTGGATAATATGGAATCACAGGGAGGTTGGAGTGATACAGGGTGCGAGACTGTCTCCATCTGTAGATTTTCACTGATATAATAACCACCACACACGTGATGAAGAGGAAGGACACTACAGCCAAAGCCAGCACTAAGTAAAAAGTCAGGTTGTCATTGTACTCCTTGTCGTGTGTAAAGTCAGTGAACTCAGACAGCACTTCAGGGAAGCTGTCCGCCACCGCCACGTTAACAATGACTGCAGCTGAACGAGACGGCTGCCCGTTGTCCTCCACTATAACAGTCAGTCTTTGTTTCACAGCATCTTTATCATTCACTTGACGGATAGTTCTGATTTCTCCATTCTGTAAGCCCACTTCAAACAGCGCCCTGTCTGTGGCTTTCTGCAGTTTATACGAGAGCCAGGCATTCTGTCCAGAGTCCACATCAACAGCCACCACTTTAGTCACCAGGTAGCCCACATCTGCTGCACGAGGCACCATCTCAGCCACCACTGATCCACCAGTCTGGACTGGGTACAGGACCTGAGGGGGGTTGTCGTTCTGGTCCTGGATCACTATTTTGACTGTCACGTTGCTGCTGAGTGGAGGGGAGCCTCCATCCTGCGCTTTGACGCGGAAGTGGAAGTCTTTGATCTGCTCGTAGTCAAAAGAGCGCACTGCATGGATAACTCCACTATCAGCACTGACTGAAACATATGAGGAGACTGGCACTCCGTTAACAGAGGAGTCCTCCAGGATGTAAGAAACACGGGCATTCTGATTCCAGTCATCGTCTCTGGCTTTCACTGTGAATATAGAGAGGCCTGGTGTGTTGTTTTCTACAATGTAGGCCTCATATGAGCTCCTCTCAAACAGAGGTGCGTTGTCATTCACATCAGAGATCTGTAAGGTGAGAGTGACGCTGCTGGAGAGAGAGGGCACTCCCTCATCAGAACACGTCACTGTGATATTGTATGAGAGGCGACCTCTCTGTCTAAATCACTGTCTGTCACTAAACTATAAAAATTATTTGATGTAGATTTCAGTTGGAAAGGGATGTTCTCATTTATAAAACACTTAACTCTACCATTTTCGCCTGAGTCTGGGTCTTGAATATTTATCATCGTAACAACTGTGTTAGGATTTGCACTTTCTGAAATAATAGCTGATTTAGACATTATTTTAATCGTTGGTTCATTGTCATTTACATCAACAACATCTACGATCACTTTACAGGTATCCGATAACCCCCCATTATCTCTCGCCCTTACATTAATCTGAAATGTCTTTTCTTTTCATAGTCCAGGCGTCCAATCACTTTTACCTCACCATTTTCCTCATTTACTTCAAACATGTGTCTGACGTCATCTAGAGTGTTTGTGATTGAATACATTATCTTTCTATTTAGACCATGATCAGCATCTGATGCACTTACTGTTGTCACGATCATGCCTTTTGCAGCGTTTTCAGCAACGGTTCCTTTGTATACCGGCTGGGTAAAAACAGGTGCATTGTCGTTTACATCTAACACTGTGATGAGAATCTGCATTGTTCCTGACATCTGAGGCTCGCCCCATCTACAGCAGTCAACGCTAAAGAAATTAACTCATTCTTCTCTCTATCTAGAGGTTTTTGGAGGACCATTTCCACATTCTTTGTTCCATCAGCTTGGTTGTGCAGTTTAAGTACAAAATTATCACTTGGCTTTAGCACATAACTTTGGAGACTATTTATACCTACGTCCAAATCCACAGCTCTTTCTAAATCAAATTTCGCCCCAACAACGGCAGACTCACTTATTATGAATTTGATTTCATTTTTTTCAAATGTTGGTGCATTATCGTTAACATCTGCGATTTCAACAGTGACACTGTAAAATTCCATAGGATTTTCTAACACAATCTGAAAATGCACGGCGCACGGCGTCGTATCACCGCACAACGCCTCTCTGTCTATTCTCTCTTTAATAAGGAGGACTCCTCTGTCGATGTTCAGCTCGATGTATTCACTGCTGTCACCAGAATAAACACGAGCGTTACCCTGCCTTAGTCGTTTAACGTCTAAACCTAAATCCTGTGCTATATTTCCAACCATAGAGCCTCTCGCCATTTCCTCCGGGATAGAGTAGCTGACCTGCCCGGAGACAGAGCTAAGGGAAAGGATCGAAATGAACAACAGTACTTGCCGTCTCATTGTTTGATATTACCAAGGCAAGAAGACCCGGTAAACCCCGTACAAATAGTTCAAAAAGATGGTCAAGCATTCAATCCAAAAATAAATAAAAGTAGTCCTTGGATGTGAAGGAAAAGAACGATAGTTGTGCCTTCCAGTGTTTCCGCTCTACAACCGAAGACAATGCAATATGCGCCTACCCTTACTCTAACAAAACCAAATGAAGAGGCGGTGCTGCTGTAAATATGCTACAACTGCAAAAGACGAGGCAACAGCGGCCCATTGAGTTCACAAAGCAAAACTGCAGGAACAAAAACTGATCAGATTGGGGAGAGGTAAAGAGTAAATTAAATAACTTTAAATGGTTTGAAATACATTGTAACATAAAAAAAAAAAAACATGTGGTAAAACGTTTCTGAAACATCAAACGATATAAATGCGCAGATAATATTTCACAAGATCTGCAAAAGATTCAAGGTATGATGACAAACATTGGGTATTTTAAATTCGTCAGACTGATTAGGATGAATGTGAATGTTGCTTCATGTAGCTCTCCCAGGTACTGAAAAATAAAAGACCAAACGAATGTACCCAATGATAACCCATTTTGTTACAAAGTTTGCTAAAGATTAATATTAAATCAGGGACAGAAGTCTAACCTCTAGAGGAGAGTCTGGTTCATCCAGGATGCTCTTCTCACTCTGTATCCTCTGCATGGTCCCTGTAGAACTGGGGTCCATTATCAGCACGTTCTGACTACCAGCTCTGCCGAACTTACAGTCACTCTTTCTGGAGTCAGTCGTCCTGCACACCTCGTAATTGTACACGTGCTGGAGAGTCCCTGTGCCCAAAGTGTCTGAGTAACGTGGTGGATAATATGGAATCACAGGCAGGTTGGAGTGATACAGGGTGCGAGACTGTCTCCATCTGTAGATTTTCACTGATATAATAACCACTACACACGTGATGAAGAGGAAGGACACTACAGCCAAAGCCAGCACTAAGTAAAAAGTCAGGTTGTCATTGTACTCCTTGTCGTGTGTAAAGTCAGTGAACTCAGACAGCACTTCAGGGAAGCTGTCCGCCACCGCCACGTTAACAATGACTGCAGCTGAACGAGACGGCTGCCCGTTGTCCTCCACTATAACAGTCAGTCTTTGTTTCACAGCATCTTTATCATTCACTTGACGGATAGTTCTGATTTCTCCATTCTGTAAGCTCACTTCAAACAGCGCCCTGTCTGTGGCTTTCTGCAGTTTATACGAAAGCCAGGCATTCTGTCCAGAGTCCACATCAACAGCCACCACTTTAGTCACCAGGTAACCCACATCTGCTGCACGAGGCACCATCTCAGCCACCACTGATCCACCAGTCTGGACTGGGTACAGGACCTGAGGGGGGTTATCGTTCTGGTCCTGGATCACTATTTTGACTGTCACGTTGCTACTGAGTGGAGGAGAGCCTCCATCCTGCGCTTTGACGCGGAACTGAAAGTCTTTGATCTGCTCGTAGTCAAAAGATCGCACTGCATGGATGACTCCACTATCAGCACTGACTGACACATATGAGGAGACTGCCACTCCGTTAATAGAGGAGTCCTCCAGGATGTAAGAAACACGGGCATTCTGGTTCCAATCATCGTCTTTTGCTCTCACTGTGAATATAGAGAGGCCTGGTGTGTTGTTTTCTACAATGTAGGCCTCATATGAGCTCCTCTCAAAGACAGGCGCGTTGTCATTCACATCAGAGATCTGTAAGGTGAGAGTGACGCTGCTGGAGAGAGAGGGCACTCCCTCATCAGAACACGTCACTGTGATGTTATACTCAGAGGCGATCTCTCTGTCTAAATCACTGTCTGTCAAGATGCTATAGAAATTACTGGATGAGGGGGATATTTTAAATGGTATGGTTTTACCAATAACACACCGGACCTTCCCGTTTTCTTCAGAGTCGGGATCATATACACTCATTACAGCTACCACTGTACTTGATCGTGAATCTTCTCCTATTGAATTTGATGAGGAGATCATATTTATGACGGGCGTGTTGTCATTAATGTCGCCAACATCGATGATCACTTTGCTAGATTCAGATAAGCCCCCTCGGTCAACTGCCTCTATATCAATCTCGTACTTTTTGGCCTTTTCATAATCAATAGGACCTTTTAACGTGAGCTCGCCCTCCTCTGTAATATGAAATAGTTCTGAAATGCTCCTCATGCTATTTACAATTACGTAGCTCACCTCTCCGTTTGAGCCTTTGTCTGCATCGGTGGCACTGACTTTTGTTATGAGTGTTCCTGTAGGCGAGTTTTCTTTTACACTTGCTTTGTACACGTTTTGCGTAAAAAGAGGAGCGTTATCATTTACATCTAAGACAGTAATATGAATTTGCATAGTCCCAGACCTCTGCGGGTCTCCTCCATCTACAGCTGTTAACAACAATGACGCAAACTCCTGTCTCTCTCTGTCCAAAGGCTTCTGTAAAATCATTTCGACCTTTTTACCACCATCAGACTGACTGTGTAATTTAAGAACAAAATGATCGTTGGGCTTTAGCGTATAGCTCTGAAGACCATTCAGTCCTATATCAGCGTCTATTGCTTTCTCGAGTACGAATTTTGAGCCGATTAACGCGGACTCGCTAATTTCAAACCTCCTTTCCTTGTTTTCGAACACAGGGGCATTGTCATTAATGTCAGTGATCTCAATGGTAATCGGGAATATTTCAATCGGGTTTTCTAAGGCAATCTGAAAATGCAAAGCGCAAGGTGTCGTCTGACCACAGAGAGCTTCCCGATCTATTCTCCGACTGATAATGAGGAGCCCATTTTCCTTGTTGAACTGGATATATTCTGCGCTGTCTCCTGTGTGGATCCGAGCTTTACCCGCTTGCAGCCGTCTGACGTCTACGCCCAAATCCTGAGCTATGTTACCGACCAAAGATCCTTTTGCCAATTCTTCAGGAATAGAGTAGCTGACCTGACCGAGCACCGAACTCAGACAGAGGACCGAGAAAAACAACAGTACTTGCCGTCTCATTGTTCTGTCAGGCTCACCCGTGGAACAAATGGTTACGTGTTTTTCCCTTCTTTCCGTATAGGCGTTTTTAATTGCAATCAAATGCACAGTCCGTTCGGTTTAGTCAAAAACTGACGATGAAAATATTCCCAATTGATATGCCGTACATGCTGTTCACTCATGATCGACTGAGCTATGATTCGTAGATTTCCCTTGTTGGAGGAGAGGGGATGTCTGAGTATATAAATATAAAATGAAACGCTAAGACGCTGGTAGACAGCGGCCCACAGAGTTCACAACATGAAACTACATGAGTTAAAAAGGATATAGTGTTTAGCTGTTAAGACCTAAGTTTGCTGTTCAAGCCACAACACAAAGAACTAAAGTACCAAATACAGAAACGGATTGCTAAAGAGCTCGTTAGTCTTCCAAAATGACTTATAATGAAGTTTGACACATGGAAATGGTAATCATCTGCATTGTAAAGTAAGGAGGCCAGTGAATAAATAAAAAAAGACAAGGAGAGATTGCTTTACATCGCTGTCCAAGGTACTGAAATGGCCCGAATAGCAAGGCCATAGTAATACAATGTTTTGAAAAAAGATGTGTTTAGATTTATTTTTTTATAAATGAAATACTCAAACCTCTAGAGGAGAATCTGGTTCATCCAGGATGCTCTTCTCACTCTGTATCCGCTGCATGGTCCCTGTAGAACTGGGGTCCATTATCAGCACGTTCTGACTACCAGCTCTGCCGAACTTACAGTCACTCTTTCTGGAGTCAGTCGTCCTGCACACCTCGTAATTGTACACGTGCTGGAGAGTCCCTGTGCCCAAAGTGTCTGAGTAACGTGGTGGATAATATGGAATCACAGGGAGGTTGGAGTGAAACAGGGTGCGAGACTGTCTCCATCTATAGATTTTCACTGATATAATAACCACTACACACGTGATGAAGAGGAAGGACACTACAGCCAAAGCCAGCACTAAGTAAAAAGTCAGGTTGTCATTGTACTCCTTGTCGTGTGTAAAGTCAGTGAACTCAGACAGCACTTCAGGGAAGCTGTCCGCCACCGCCACGTTAACAATGACTGCAGCTGAACGAGACGGCTGCCCGTTGTCCTCCACTATAACAGTCAGTCTTTGTTTCACAGCATCTTTATCATTCACTTGGCGGATAGTTCTGATTTCTCCATTCTGTAAGCCCACTTCAAACAGCGCCCTGTCTGTGGCTTTCTGCAGTTTATACGAGAGCCAGGCATTCTGTCCAGAGTCCACATCAACAGCCACCACTTTAGTCACCAGGTAGCCCACATCTGCTGCACGAGGCACCATCTCAGCCACCACTGATCCACCAGTCTGGACTGGGTACAGGACCTGAGGGGGGTTATCGTTCTGGTCCTGGATCACTATTTTCACTGTCACGTTGCTGCTGAGTGGAGGGGAGCCTCCATCCTGCGCTTTGACGCGGAAGTGGAAGTCTTTGATCTGCTCGTAGTCAAAAGAGCACTGCATGGATGACTCCACTATCAGCACTGACGGAAACATATGAGGAGACTGCTACTCCGTTAAAGAGGAGTCCTCCAGGATGTAAGAAACACGGGCATTCTGGTTCCAGTCAGCGTCTCTGGCTTTCACTGTGAATATAGAGAGGCCTGGTGTGTTGTTTTCTACAATGTAGGCCTCATATGAGCTCCTCTCAAAGACAGGTGCGTTGTCATTTACATCAGAGATCTGTAAGGTGAGAGTGACGCTGCTGGAGAGGGGCACTCCCTCATCAGAACACGTCACTGTGATGTTATACTCAGAGGCTACCTCTCTGTCTAAATCACTGTCTGTAACTAAGCTATAAAAATTGTTGGTCGTAAATTTGATTTCAAATGGGATATATTCATTTATCACACACTGAACTTTTCCATTGGTGTCAGAATCAGGATCACTTACACTCATTAATGCTATTACCGTTTTGAGTGCTGAATCCTCTGGTACTGAACCTGATGTCGAGATCATATTTACTACAGGGCTGTTATCATTTACGTCAGTTATGTCGATTATTATCTTACTAGAATCCGAAAGTCCCCCTTTATCTATCGCCTCAATATCAATGTGATAGTTTTTTTCTTTTTCATAATCAACTGGAGCATCAAGTATCAAGTCCCCTTCACTATTTATGTGAAATAACTTTGAAACACCGTCCATGCTATTCCCGATGACGTAGGTCACTTCTCCATTTGAGTCTTTGTCTGCATCAGAAGCACTAACCTTTGTAACCAGTGTTCCTATAACGGAGTTTTCTGCAATGCTTGCTTTGTAAACGGGTTTACTAAAAACAGGGGCATTGTCGTTCGCATCCAGTACAGTAACATGAATCTGCATTGTTCCAGTCATCTGTGGTTCTCCTCCATCTTCCGCTGTTAATACTAAAGATATGTGTTCATGTTTCTCTCGGTCCAATGGCTTTTGTAAAATCATTTCAACCTTTTTGCTCCCATCAGATTGAGAGTGCAGTTTGAGCACAAAATTGTCACTCGGCTTCAGGGTGTACCTCTGAAGACCATTCAGTCCGATATCGGGGTCCATTGCTTTCTCTAGCATAAATTTAGAGCCGATGACTGCAGATTCGCTGATTTCAAACCTCCTCTCCTCCTTTTGGAACATCGGAGCATTGTCATTAATATCCGCAATTTCCACAGTAACTGGGAACATTTCTAATGGGTTCTCTAACGTTATTTGAAAATGCAAAGCACAAGGCGTTGTCTGTCTGCAGAGGCCTTCGCGGTCTATTTTTTCTTTAATAACGAGGACTCCTCTTACTCTATTCAGCTCAATGTACTGAATACTGTCCCCCGTATAAATACGTGCTTTACCAGATTGAAGCCTTTTGACGTCTAATCCCAAATCTTGAGCTATGTTGCCGACCAAAGAGCCTTTTGCCATTTCCTCTGGAATAGAGTAGCTGACTTGCCCAATCACGGAATCGAGGCAGATGATGGAGAATAACAACAGTACTTGCCGTTTCATTGTTCTATCTGATACCTCTGTCGCAGCAGCCATCGTGTTCTATTCCGTTTTAAAAGTAATATTCCGTTGCGTAAATCTTGCAGATTAAATAAAAAAAGTAATTTTTAATCCACAGCATAAAAAATAAGGGTTCCAGTTTGATATGTCAGAGGAGACTATAGTATGATCACCACACCGAAGCGGGCACTCAGCTAAAGTGGCTGTGCATCAGTACTACGCCAGGATGTAGACTGTGAAAATCTGTTACAAGAGCACATCCTAACTGCAACATATTGGGCAACAGCGGCCCGATGAGTTCAAATTGTGAAAGTACAGAAGCAAAACAGGAAAAATTCCAGACAAATTCAAAAATTTTAACTTCAGTCAAAATGATTTAAAAACAACCCTCCCAAAAGGTGGTGTAACCAAGTGCTTTTATAAAATATCAAATTAAACTTTTGGGAGTCAGTAATGTAATAATTTAATGTGGCATTTAAGAACACAAATGTGTTAACTATGAGAGTGGGAAAACTGTAAAAAGCTTGACAAAACGAATCACAAAAGTGAAGCAATGCGGATCTGTGGTTCAACTGTCACTTTCCAGGGTACTGAAATGTTTACCGTTTATAAATCATAGATTTCATACATTTTGCCAAAACTAAAAGATGACGTTAACCCCATGACCCACCTCTAGAGGAGAGTCTGGTTCATCCAGGATGCTCTTCTCACTCTGTATCCTCTGCATGGTTCCTGTAGAACTTGGGTCCATTATCAGCACGTTCTGACTACCAGCTCTGCCGAACTTACAGTCACTCTTTCTGGAGTCAGTCGTCCTGCACACCTCGTAATTGTACACGTGCTGGAGAGTCCCTGTGCCCAAAGTGTCTGAGTAACGTGGTGGATAATATGGAATCACAGGGAGGTTGGAGTGATACAGGGTGCGAGACTGTCTCCATCTATAGATTTTCACTGATATAATAACCACCACACACGTGATGAAGAGGAAGGACACTACAGCCAAAGCCAGCACTAAGTAAAAAGTCAGGTTATCATTGTACTCCTTGTCGTGTGTAAAGTCAGTGAACTCAGACAGCACTTCAGGGAAGCTGTCCGCCACCGCCACGTTAACAATGACTGCAGCTGAACGAGACGGCTGCCCGTTGTCCTCCACTATAACAGTCAGTCTTTGTTTCACAGCATCTTTATCATTCACTTGGCGGATAGTTCTGATTTCTCCATTCTGTAAGCCCACTTCAAACAGCGCCCTGTCTGTGGCTTTCTGCAGTTTATACGAGAGCCAGGCATTCTGTCCAGCGTCCACATCAACAGCCACCACTTTAGTCACCAGGTAGCCCACATCTGCTGTACGAGGCACCATCTCAGCCACCACTGATCCACCAGTCTGGACTGGGTACAGGACCTGAGGGGGGTTGTCGTTCTGGTCTTGGATCACTATTTTCACTGTCACGTTGCTACTGAGTGGAGGGGAGCCTCCATCCTGCGCTTTGACGCGGAAGTGGAAGTCTTTGATCTGCTCGTAGTCAAAAGATCGCACTGCATGGATGACTCCACTATCAGCACTGACTGACACATATGAGGAGACTGGCACTCCGTTAATAGAGAAGTCCTCCAGGATGTAAGAAACACGGGCATTCTGGTTCCAATCAGCGTCTTTTGCTCTCACTGTGAAAACAGAGAGGCCTGGTGTGTTGTTTTCTACAATGTAGGCCTCATATGAGCTCCTCTCAAAGACAGGCGCGTTGTCATTCACATCAGAGATCTGTAAGGTGAGAGTGACGCTGCTGGAGAGAGAGGGCACTCCCTCATCAGAACACGTCACTGTGATGTTATATTGAGAGGCGACCTCTCTGTCCAAGGCTACCTCTGTAAATATACTATAAAATCCGTTCATTGTATTTTGTATTTTGAACGGAATATCATCATTAATGTTACACTTCACTTCTCCATTCCTGTCGGAGTCAGGGTCATTTATGCTCAGCATAGCGATGACGGTGTTCTCTGGAGAGTCTTCTAAAATAGTGTCTGATTTAGAGAGAGCTTTTATCTGAGGACTGTTGTCATTCACATCAGTGACATCAATTAGGATCTTACTTGAATCAGAGAGTCCTCCATTATCTATAGCTTCAATATCAATTTGAAAGAGCTTTGATTTTTCATAATCTATTTCACCGATCAGAATAACCTCTCCTGTTTTCCTGTTGATCTGAAATAGGTTTGAAAATCGACGTTTGCTACTTGAAATTGCGTATGATATCTCTCCATTAGAGCCTCCATCTTTGTCAGATGCACTAACAGTTATAACACTGGTTCCTCTTGGGGAATTCTCCGTTATTGTTGCCTTGTATACTGACTTAGTGAAAACCGGTGCATTGTCGTTTATATCTAACACGTTCACAATGATCTGCATTGTACCAGACATACGCGGCTGTCCGCCATCAACAGCAGTTAATAAAAGCGATATCTGCTCCTGCTGCTCTCGATCTAGAGGCTTCTGCAGAACCATTTCTACCTTTTTACCTCCGTCTGCTTGATTCTCTAGTTTCAATGCAAAGTTATTTGTTGGATTAAGCGAATAGCTCTGAAGATCATTTGTACCGATGTCAGCATCGATGGCTTTCTCTAGCACAAATTTAGAACCAATAACAGCCGACTCGCTAATTTCAAAACGTTTCTCGTTCGATTCAAAACTCGGAGCGTTGTCGTTTATGTCTGTGATTTCTATCGTTATGCGAAACAATTCCATCGGATTTTCCAAAATCATCTGTAAATGTAAAGCACATGGCGTCATTTCTCCACACAAGGTCTCTCTGTCTATTCTCTCTTTGATGAGGAGGACTCCTCTTTCTTTATTCAGCTCGATAAATTCTGCGCTGTCTCCGGAGTGAATACGAGCTCGACCCGATTTAAGCCTTTTAACATCTAAACCGAGGTCCTGAGCTATATTACAGACCAATGAACCTTTTTCCATTTCCTCAGGAATGGAGTAGCTAACCTGCCCGAGCACCGAGGTGAGGGAGAGAACCGAAAAGAACAACAGTACTTGCCGTCTCATTATTTAGTCGATGTATTCCACTGTCGTCTTAGTAAAACTGTAATCCATATGAGTATTGTGAAATATCCTGATCGAATCACAAGGAGATGTCAACATAAAACAGCTTTCAATGTCTAGTGACCAGATTTCCATTAAGAAGGGCAGGCGGTTCTTGCCTGTTTTATTGTCTACAATGACACAGTCTAAGGGGGAGGTACAGTTGCGAACCCTATCGAAGACTGCCACACTCTGGCCAACAGCGGCCCTTTCTGTTCAACCCACATAACAGCAACAGTCGAGAGAAAGATGATGAGAAATGCTTTTTACCAAGAGAAATCTTTTAAAACATTATCATTTTGATCATGGGTATTATTATAAGTAATGACTATATTATGGAAGCTAAATGTGTTTACAATAGCAGTAATATTGAAATGTAGTTGGTATGAGGCAAAAAGCCATGACATAATAATTAAAAACTTTACTTATTGACAGAGTAACTTCAGTGCAAAGCAAAATGGCACTGTCCATGGTGCTGAATGGGAAAGCTGTAAAGAAACACACTCGTCTACAGCATTGAAAGAGTTTGAGGAAACGGATGCACCACGAAAAAAATAGAATTTGAAAAGCATAGCTGTAAAATGTTTAGATTTTTTGGATTTTCTAACCTCTAGAGGAGAGTCTGGTTCATCCAGGATGCTCTTCTCACTCTGTATCCGCTGCATGGTCCCTGTAGAACTGGGGTCCATTATCAGCACGTTCTGACTACCAGCTCTGCCGAACTTACAGTCACTCTTTCTGGAGTCAGTCGTCCTGCACACCTCGTAATTGTACACGTGCTGGAGAGTCCCTGTGCCCAAAGTGTCTGAGTAACGTGGTGGATAATATGGAATCACAGGGAGGTTGGAGTGAAACAGGGTGCGAGACTGTCTCCATCTGTAGATTTTCACTGATATAATAACCACTACACATGTGATGAAGAGGAAGGACACTACAGCCAAAGCCAGCACTAAGTAAAAAGTCAGGTTGTCATTGTACTCCTTGTCGTGTGTAAAGTCAGTGAACTCAGACAGCACTTCAGGGAAGCTGTCCGCCACCGCCACGTTAACAATGACTGCAGCTGAACGAGACGGCTGCCCGTTGTCCTCCACTATAACAGTCAGTCTTTGTTTCACAGCATCTTTATCATTCACTTGACGGATAGTTCTGATTTCTCCATTCTGTAAGCCCACTTCAAACAGCGCCCTGTCTGTGGCTTTCTGCAGTTTATAGGAGAGCCAGGCATTCTGTCCAGAGTCCACATCAACAGCCACCACTTTAGTCACCAGGTAGCCCACATCTGCTGAACGAGGCACCATCTCAGCCACCACTGATCCACCAGTCTGGACTGGGTACAGGACCTGAGGGGGGTTATCGTTCTGGTCCTGGATCACTATTTTCACTGTCACATTGCTACTGAGTGGAGGGGAGCCTCCATCCTGCGCTTTGACGCGGAACTGAAAGTCTTTGATCTGCTCGTAGTCAAAAGAGCGCACTGCATGGATGACTCCACTATCAGCACTGACGGAAACATATGAGGAGACTGGTACTCCGTTTATAGAGAAGTCCTCCAGGATGTAAGAAACACGGGCATTCTGGTTCCAGTCAGCGTCTCTGGCTTTCACTGTGAATATAGAGAGGCCTGGTGTGTTGTTTTCTACAATGTAGGCCTCATATGAGCTCCTCTCAAAGACAGGCGCGTTGTCATTTACATCAGAGATCTGTAAGGTGAGAGTGACGCTGCTGGAGAGAGAGGGCACTCCCTCATCAGAACACGTCACTGTGATGTTATACTGAAAAGCGACCTCTCTGTCCAAGGCTACCTCAGTCACTAAAGTATAAAATCCATTCATTGTATTTTGCATTTTAAACGGAATATCACCATCTATATTACACTCTACTTCTCCATTATTTTCTGAATCTAGATCATTTACACTGAGCATAGCTATAACAGTGTTTGGAGGAGAGTCTTCTAATATGAAATCAGATTTAGAAATTAAATTGATGTCAGGTTTGTTGTCATTTATATCAATAACATCGACTATGACTTTACTTGAATCAGAGAGTCCCCCGCTGTCTACAACTTCAACATCAATTTCATACACTTTAGACTTTTCATAATCTAATTCACCGACTACAATAATTTCACCAGTTATTGAATTGATCTTAAAGAGCTCAGATAAAACGCGATCACTGGGAGATATCAGATACGATACTTCTCCATTCGAGCCAATGTCTTTATCTGATGCACTTACAGTCGTTACACTGGTGCTTTTCGGTGAATTTTCTAGTATTTTTGCTCTATATAACGGTTTAGCAAATGTAGGGGCATTGTCGTTCACATCTAATACATTAACAAATATCTGCATTGTCCCCGACATCTGCGGCTCCCCTCCATCTAGAGCAGTTAACAACAGTGATATGTAGTCTTGCTTTTCTCGATCTAGAGGTTTTTGTAGAACCATCTCTATCTTTTACTTCGATCTGCCTGGTTTCCAGATTTTAAAACAAAGTTATCAGTTGGAGAAAGTAGATATCGCTGGAGTCCATTCTGCCCAATGTCGGAATCAATAGCTTTCTCTAAAACGAATTTCGATCCTACCACAGCAGACTCGCTGATCTCAAAGCGTTTCTCTGCATTTGTAAAACTGGGCGTATTATCGTTTATGTCCATAATCTCCACTGTTACACGAAACAATTCCATTGGATTTTCAAGAATTAACTGGAAATGTAAAGCACAAGGCGTCGTCTCTCCGCACAAAGCCTCTCTGTCTATCCTCTCCTGAATAAGGAGGACCCCTCGGTCTTTATTCAGCCCGATGTATTCTAAGCTACCTCCTGTATAGACACGAGCTTTACCCGATTTCAACCTTTTTAGATCCAAACCTAAATCATGCGCTATATTACCAACTACAGAGCCTTTAGCCATCTCCTCAGGAATTGAATAGCTGACTTGGCCGAGCACGAAGCCGAGACATCGGGCCAACATGAACAACAGTACTTGCCGTCTCATTGTTCTGACTGAAGACGGTTCCCACACCATGAAAACAAAAGAACTCCCAATGCAGTCAGTCTGAAGGTAGATCACAAAAAAATATCCGCATTTAAAGAATACAATGAGAAGATAGGTCCAACAAAACAAATCCAGTCAGAGCTCCTTTCGAGCTCGCACTACGTACACAGAGCTCCTCTGTTTTTTGTACAACATATGAAGGCGGATGGGAAGGGCATAGAGAGAAAAAATAACATCTACTTTAACTGCAACACGCTTGCCAACAGCGACGCTTTGAGTTGAAAATACATATTACAAGTAAAGTGTAAAATAACCATTGCAGTGCAAAGTCCCACACGTGTAATCAAACTGAAACAAAACCAGAGAAAAGTTTGCCAATGAATTATCATGCTGATATGATCCTTCAATATTCATAATGAATATCCATTAGCAACATCTATAACAAATACAAACGATGGTTTTTAGATTGGTTTTTCAAATAGGAAAAATTCAGAAGAGAACAAACAAAATAATTTAAAAAATATCACAATGAACTCGTTAACTGAAGGTGCAATGTAGGGTGTCGCTGTCTATGGTGCTGAATCAGTATGTCGTACCCTTACCTAAATTCCGAGCCATTTCAATATGGTACTTTGGGATTTCTGTTAAAAGACACTACACTAATAAATGAATGTACCAATATCATAACTTTGAATTGCATACTATAAAATATTTAAATTTAAGCAGTTTTCTAACCTCTAGAGGAGAATCTGGTTCATCCAGGATGCTCTTCTCACTCTGTATCCTCTGCATGGTCCCTGTAGAACTGGGGTCCATTATCAGCACGTTCTGACTACCAGCTCTGCCGAACTTACAGTCACTCTTTCTGGAGTCAGTCGTCCTGCACACCTCGTAATTGTACACGTGCTGGAGAGTCCCTGTGCCCAAAGTGTCTGAGTAACGTGGTGGATAATATGGAATCACAGGGAGGTTGGAGTGAAACAGGGTGCGAGACTGTCTCCATCTGTAGATTTTCACTGATATAATAACCACCACACACGTGATGAAGAGGAAGGACACTACAGCCAAAGCCAGCACTAAGTAAAAAGTCAGGTTGTCATTGTACTCCTTGTCGTGTGTAAAGTCAGTGAACTCAGACAGCACTTCAGGGAAGCTGTCCGCCACCGCCACGTTAACAATGACTGCAGCTGAACGAGACGGCTGCCCGTTGTCCTCCACTATAACAGTCAGTCTTTGTTTCACAGCATCTTTATCATTCACTTGACGGATAGTTCTGATTTCTCCATTCTGTAAGCCCACTTCAAACAGCGCCCTGTCTGTGGCTTTCTGCAGTTTATACGAGAGCCAGGCATTCTGTCCAGAGTCCACATCAACAGCCACCACTTTAGTCACCAGGTAGCCCACATCTGCTGCACGAGGCACCATCTCAGCCACCACTGATCCACCAGTCTGGACTGGGTACAGGACCTGAGGAGGGTTGTCGTTCTGGTCCTGGATCACTATTTTCACTGTCACGTTGCTACTGAGTGGAGGGGAGCCTCCATCCTGCGCTTTGACGCGGAAGTGGAAGTCTTTGATCTGCTCGTAGTCAAAAGAGCGCACTGCATGGATGACTCCACTATCAGCACTGACTGACACATATGAGGAGACTGGCACTCCGTTAATAGAGAAGTCCTCCAGGATGTAAGAAACACGGGCATTCTGGTTCCAATCATCGTCTTTTGCTTTCACTGTGAATATAGAGAGGCCTGGTGTGTTGTTTTCTACAATGTAGGCCTCATATGAGCTCCTCTCAAAGACAGGCGCGTTGTCATTCACATCAGAGATCTGTAAGGTGAGAGTGACGCTGCTGGAGAGAGAGGGCACTCCCTCATCAGAACACGTCACTGTGATGTTATATTGAGAGGCGACCTCTCTGTCCAAGGCTACCTCTGTAACTAAACTATAAAATCCGTTCATTGTATTTTGTATTTTGAACGGAATATCATCATTAATGTTACACTTCACTTCTCCATTCCTGTCGGAGTCAGGGTCATTTATGCTCAGCATAGCGATGACGGTGTTCTCTGGAGAGTCTTCTAAAATAGTGTCTGATTTAGAGAGAGCTTTTATCTGAGGACTGTTGTCATTCACATCAGTGACATCAATTAGGATCTTACTTGAATCAGAGAGTCCTCCATTATCTATAGCTTCAATATCAATTTGAAAGAGCTTTGATTTTTCATAATCTATTTCACCGATCAGAATAACCTCTCCTGTTTTCCTGTTGATCTGAAATAGGTCGGATAATCGACGCATGCTACTTGAAATTGCGTATGATATCTCTCCATTAGAGCCTCCATCTTTGTCAGATGCACTAACAGTTATAACACTGGTTCCTTGGGGAATTCTCCGTTATTGTTGCCTTGTATACTGACTTAGTGAAAACCGGTGCATTGTCGTTTATCTAACACGTTCACAATGATCTGCATTGTACCAGACATACGCGGCTGTCCGCCATCAACAGCAGTTAATAAAAGCGATATCTGCTCCTGCTGCTCTCGATCTAGAGGCTTCTGCAGAACCATTTCTACCTTTTTACCTCCGTCTGCTTGATTCTCTAGTTTCAATGCAAAGTTATTTGTTGGATTAAGCGAATAGCTCTGAAGATCATTTGTACCGATGTCAGCATCGATGGCTTTCTCTAGCACAAATTTAGAACCAATAACAGCCGACTCGCTAATTTCAAAACGTTTCTCGCTCGATGAAACGTGGGGGCATTGTCGTTTATGTCTGTGATTTCTATCGTTATGCGAAACAATTCCATCGGATTTTCCAAAATCATCTGTAAATGTAAAGCACATGGCGTCATTTCTCCACACAAGGTCTCTCTGTCTATTCTCTCTTTGATGAGGAGGACTCCTCTTTCTTTATTCAGCTCGATAAATTCTGCGCTGTCTCCGGAGTGAATACGAGCTCGACCCGATTTAAGCCTTTTAACATCTAAACCGAGGTCCTGAGCTATATTACAGACCAAGGAACCTTTTTCCATTTCCTCAGGAATGGAGTAGCTAACCTGCCCGAGCACCGAGGTGAGGGAGAGAACCGAAAAGAACAACAGTACTTGCCGTCTCATTATTTAGTCGATGTATTCCACTGTCGTCTTAGTAAAACTGTAATCCATATGAGTATTGTGAAATATCCTGATCGAATCACAAGGAGATGTCAACATAAAACAGCTTTCAATGTCTAGTGACCAGATTTCCATTAAGAAGGGCAGGCGGTTCTTGCCTGTTTTATTGTCTACAATGACACAGTCTAAGGGGGAGGTACAGTTGCGAACCCTATCGAAGACTGCCACACTCTGGCCAACAGCGGCCCTTTCTGTTCAACCCACATAACAGCAACAGTCGAGAGAAAGATGATGAGAAATGCTTTTTACCGAGAAAACTTTTAAAACATTATCATTTTGATCATGGGTATTTTTACTAGTATGAACTATATTAAAATAGACAATTTTTTAAAAACAAAATCAGCAATATTAAAATGTAGTTGGTATGACCAGGAGCCAAAAGCCACAATCTAATAAATAAAACCCCTACTTATGAACACAGTACCTTGAAGTACGGCTAAATGTATCTGTCCATGGTGCTGAATTGGTAAAATGAGAAGAAAAATCGTCTATAGCATTGAAATAGTTTTTGATAATTATTTGCATATTTGCCAAATGAAACACCTAGTAATCACATATGACCAACCTCTAGAGGAGAATCTGGTTCATCCAGGATGCTCTTCTCACTCTGTATCCTCTGCATGGTCCCTGTAGAACTGGGGTCCATTATCAACACGTTCTGACTACCAGCTCTGCCGAACTTACAGTCACTCTTTCTGGAGTCAGTCGTCCTGCACACCTCGTAATTGTACACGTGCTGGAGAGTCCCTGTGCCCAAAGTGTCTGAGTAACGTGGTGGATAATATGGAATCACAGGGAGGTTGGAGTGAAACAGGGTGCGAGACTGTCTCCATCTGTAGATTTTCACTGATATAATAACCACCACACACGTGATGAAGAGGAAGGACACTACAGCCAAAGCCAGCACTAAGTAAAAAGTCAGGTTGTCATTGTACTCCTTGTCGTGTGTAAAGTCAGTGAACTCAGACAGCACTTCAGGGAAGCTGTCCGCCACCGCCACGTTAACAATGACTGCAGCTGAACGAGACGGCTGCCCGTTGTCCTCCACTATAACAGTCAGTCTTTGTTTCACAGCATCTTTATCATTCACTTGGCGGATAGTTCTGATTTCTCCATTCTGTAAGCCCACTTCAAACAGCGCCCTGTCTGTGGCTTTCTGCAGTTTATACGAGAGCCAGGCATTCTGTCCAGAGTCCACATCAACAGCCACCACTTTAGTCACCAGGTAGCCCACATCTGCTGCACGAGGCACCATCTCAGCCACCACTGATCCACCAGTCTGGACTGGGTACAGGACCTGAGGGGGGTTGTCGTTCT